GGTTTCTTTGAACATCACTGCTGAAAGTAATCTGAGGAGTTCTCTCGGCCAAACGACTTCTATAGCACCAACGACGTGTCATTCACCACGCACAACATCCACACGGCGTCACTCACCACGGTCATATGGGGGTGCGCATATGCGGCAGATCATTTCACTCCAATACCCGGCAAGAAAGGAATCGCTTGCAGTGTGCTGCCACCTATCAACGAACGTAAAAAAACAAGCAGCGCAGCGTAGGCCAAGGTTTCGAAGCGCAAATCACAAGCCTGCGCTACTTTACGCGTACAATAAATGTTATGGGATTCATGCACTACAAAAGCACTGACGAATGCTATGCGAACGTACAACAAGGCGAGTTTTAACTGAAATGGTCAGACATTAACATTACTATCCCAAGTGGCTGCAGAAAATCTCGCGAAGCTGATATGTGTACTCTGTGAGTTATAATCGAAAGCGCGAGTTGCCGCGTATTATCACAAAAACTTCACGTCTCGCAAGAACGTATCAGATTTATCATGTCACGGACGGTCCGGTATATTCACTGATGCACGGAGCATACGAAGTGGTTTATGTTCGTTTCTTGCTAACGCGTTAGCATTGCGGCTCGCACCGCCGAACAAGGGAACGTCTGCCAACTGATCATCCTCACGGTGTTCATCCTTGAGAGGACGCTCCGGAATCCAGCTAGGCGGCGCGACAGTCCATGAACACTGCGAAAAGAAGTTAATGTTAACTCCTTTGTTAATATTATTACTAATATGAACGTTGGTGTGTAAAGTGTTCGCAATACAATGTAGCATGATTTACTTTGAATCATTTCGAACTTATGCGTATAAGGAAAGTAACGCTGTATGTTTAGCACTTTTTGTATTTTTTACTTATCTTTCTTTTTAGTCGACAATGTGGCCATTTATGCCACTCATCTACATGTATTTTTTGTCACCACTTCTGCTTGGTCCCCAATCTGGCCGGCAGTATGTATAAATAAATAACTAAATAGGTAAATAAATAATAAAAATAGCAGTTGGTTATATTCCGCGCATTTCTCTATTACCTGATTGATAGTATGATTATGGTCTATTGTGGAATAGCCGGTATGAAACTCTGCTTGGTCCGTTTGGTTGAGGGAACTCTAATGTTGCCTAAATTCTATTGGCTATTTCTTTAGTAAATAATTTGTAGAGGAGGGACAGTAAGCTGATCGAACTGTAGCTTTTCAAGTCCTTGACGTCTCCTTTCTTTTATGTCTGTGTTCTCCCAAGATTCTGGTACCCTTTCCATCAAGGGACTTTCGTATATAAGGTGGCCAGTTTTTCTAACACTATTTCACCGCAATATTTCAGCAGGTCCGTTGTTACTTTATTATCCTCACCAGTGCCTTTGCTTCTTTGCATTCCTTCTAAGGTTTTCGTTACTTCTCATGTCGTTACTGGTAGGATGTGGAATTCATCTGAGCTTTATTGCTTTTTTACGATATCATCCCGGTTGTTTCAGCTTCTGTACAGATCTCTGTATACAGAGATCTATTGAACCTGTCCACCACCTCTATCCTATATCCATATTGGTTATGACTTTGCATTCCTTGTCCCTTAATGCATACATCCAATTTTCGCCTATGCTCAAGTTTGCCTTCGCAGCTTTCAGGCTTCTGCCACTTTTTACAGCCTGCTCAATTCTCTTCATGTTACTCCTTATGATGTCGGTTACCTTGCGCCTATTGATTAACTTCAAAAACTCCACTAGCTCTATATAGTCGGTTTCATTTGAGGCCTTCATGGTTTGTCGCCTCTTACTGAGGTTTTTAGTCTCCTGAAATAGTTTGCCAGTGTCCTGTTTAGTGACTGTACCTCCGACTTTCGTTGCACACACTTTCATGATACTAGTAAGATTATCGTTCATTGTGTCAACGCTAACGTCGGTTACCTCGTTTAGAGCCTCGAATCTATTCTGAAGTGAAACTCTGAATTCCTGTACTTTCCTTTTCACCGCTAGTTTATTAATGGGCTTTTTGAGCATCAGTCTATGCCTTTGTTTCTGTAGATCTAGGTGAATACGAGCTCTTACAATTCTATGGTCTCTCAATGGGATCTTGCCAACTACTTCTACATCCTTTGCAATGTGTGCACACAGAAGAAAGTCTATCTCATTTTAGTTTCGCCATTAGGACTTCACCACGTCCACTGACGGTTAGTCTGTATTCTGAAGAAAGTATTCAAGATCCGTAAGTTATCATGTTATGCGGATTCTGTTAAGAACTCCCCTCTGGCACTTCTAGAACCGATGCAATTTTCCCCCACTGCATGGTACCCGGCCCGTTCCTTGCCCATTTTGACATGAAAGTCGCCAATCAGTGTAGTATAGTGTGTTGGTTAACCTCCCTTACTTTCCTCTCTATTTCTCTCTACTTTATAAATGGCTGACTCTACGTCTTCATAGAAGCGTTCAGCCAAATGTAAAAAAAAAAAACGGCAGAAGCCTAAAAGCTGTAGATGTAGACGCGTAGGCCTGTACCACCTTCATCTTGTGCCCTTTGTTAAGCCTAATTATGATACTTGCCACTCTCTCACTGATGCTATAATATTCTTTTATGTTGCCAGTGATATTCATGTGTATAACAAACCCCACCTCTAGTTCTTTTTTTTTTCAACTAGTCGGATATATACGAGTCTGAAGCAAATAAAAACGGCCCTGGTTAAAACTGCGCGCGGCCCAGGGGAAAGTCGACGCTGCGCCGATCTTAGGGCGCAGAAAGAGACACCTCTCATAATCATTCACAGGCATAACATGCTTACTTTGTCTACTATCGGCATCAAATGAAACGCGAACAGCGGAGCGCGTGGCACAAGCCTTATCAATGGCATAGTGCGCGCCGTCCACCAGTCATTGACATAGACAGGCCCACACATCCGGTGTTGCAGCACTGCGTGATTCCCCTATAGTGCAGTATTTCTGCTTGTGTTCCAGGTATGGTAGTAATATTTGAAAGGAACAAAATAAAAAAATAGAGGTTAAACTACTGGAGCCGAAGACGAGTGTTGCAGCACGGTTTGTCATCACGGAGTCCATACTCAAGGAATGCCTGGAAAATTCTATTTATAGCAAACAAAACTCGGTTCACAATGCTGGCAATTTCACGCTGTTTCACTTTGTGCCTGTAAAGCGAAAGAATTTGCGCTCTCTCTTCCGAAAGAAAAAAAAAACGCTCGACATTTCCAGTTAAAGTGAAGCTTTTTCTGGTCGGCCTCTGAAAGAAGGGTGCAGGTGAAGCAGCGCTGGCGAACGAGATACGACGATCGTTTGAAAATCAGCCGCAAACCGATTATATTTCTCTTGTTTGATTTTGCCAAGACACTGCACTGCGACGCTGAAGTAAAAACAAAAAAAAATTGCGAGTGATACAATCAAAAGCGCTTGGTACGCCCACGATGGCAACCATTATCACCAATGGATTCACCATATGAAAACTAGGGCAGAAGCGGAGATAACGCACTTTATGGACGTCGCGCAGTGCTGCCAATGACTGGACGGCCAACACTAAGCTGTTTCTAATGCTTGAAACACGCGCTCCGCTGTTCGGGTTTCATTTGACGCCGATAGTACCTTACGCTATGCACCGTTTGTCCTAGTGCGTCTCACCCCACCTCCCTATCCCCCCGAAATTGGGCAAATGACAAACTTAAGCCGAGACTATATCTGTGAGCAACCTGTAAATAGCCCACCGGTGACTGGTTATCCAGGTGCACGTTACGTACGTACGCTATTTTCATCACTTAAGGTAAGTTACCCAAAGGATAGCGCATGACACATACGCTGGCGTAACAAACGCTAGCGCAAAGCTTTGCGTACCCTATTTTGCGGTTCAACGCAGGCAAACATGGCGCCTTCCAGCCATTGCCACGGCTGATGCACCACAAAGTCTAAGAAGGCACATAATGGTATTAAGAGCGCGTAAACAGACAAGAAACGAAAATTTCTTGTCTGTTTACGTGCTCTAAATAGCGGCAACATACGAGTACAAACTCGCCCGAATTTGAGGGCTTTTAAAGACTAAAAAGCGTTCGCTGCCTCAATATCCAAGGTCGCGCCTTTTCTTTATGCGCATTATCATCATGAATGACTTGGTTTGTCAGAATTGAGTTTTCATAAAAAAAAGCTGTAATTAATTAACATGTACAGTACTCTTGCTCCTACGTGTCTGAGGGAAGAAAAAAAACAAATTATAATGAAATTAAAAGCTTGTACCTTTATTGAATTTCGGCAGGTTTAGGTACGTAATTAGATTTTGCCAATCAAATTGGTCCTGCACGAAAGAACCTAACACATTTTTTTTTTTTATGGTGAAGCAACAGTGGTGAAAGAGAGAACAGACTGTACAGTTGGTACAAGATTTGTTGCATAAACAACACGTGGATGTCGTTTGTTCGCAGAATGATTATGCTCCATCTGCCTTGTTGAGTATTTTCTTAACATCACTCGGTATGCCTCACGGAGGAAGGAAAGGGGGTATGCCCCAAAACATTGCGCTGGACGAAGCAACTCGTGGCGGATAGACGATGCTCGATGTATTGTTGAACACGCCGAATGAGTTCCGAGGCATTGCGGACCAAATGTGCGCAGCAAGTGAGAGCTAGCTGGTGCATAAGTACGTTACATGAAATTTTTGTTTGAAAAGGTAGTCCGTAGACATAAATTCTCTTTGTTTTAGACTGTAGCTTCAAATCGAAACCGAAAGTAAAGTTTTCTTGCTTAATACACGGCTTTGTTGTGAGGAAGTAAAAAAAAAACGTCTATATGAGCAGCATGTTTAACAGCAGTAACGTGTTTAGATTGGATATATATATTTAGAGATATTGAAGAGTTGGAGGTTACGCGACGTTTGCGCCGAGAATTGGGCACAAAACATACAAAAGAGAGCTAGTGGAGCTGGTGAAGCTTCGTGACACCCACTGCATTCTTTTGCTGTGCAGCGATGCACTATGGGAGGCAGCATACGTGACGTCATGGTTTCGGGCTATTAAACGCTGCATCGTCCCTGTTCGCCATTTTGGATTGGAGTTGGGGGAGTCATCCTTTTCAACTAATTGTCAGTAATCTGCTTCCATCCGTCCCTGCAAAATTCACAAGGACAAACTCATCTTACTAAAATACAGAACCCATAAGGACGGGCCGAGGTACGTGTATATTTTTTCGGTTTGGCGTCGGTCGATCTAGCAAAGCAGGAGACCTCTTTCTGTATGGGTGGTTGGGACACGGTAAAAAAAAAATAATAATAATGAATGCCTAGGTGTTGTGCCTGCCGCTCATCTGCCTAAATGGACCTTACACAGTAGACCGCTGCCTTTAAGGGTCGTCTGGTGTGGTTGTGTCTAGCGAGCAGTATTGGTGGACAGAGAAATAAGGAATACCAATTTAGGCCTAATCTCACCGGGACCCCGATTCATTGTAAGGACTGAAACGTTCGTCGTCCTTTCCTTTCACCGGGTAGGTAGTTTTCCATTCCTGGCGACCTGCTTTGTTCGCTCAGTCATCAAATCACATTGGTGTTCTACGTGTGTTTATGGGAGTGAAAGTTCTTTTCAATATCTGAAGTAGCGTAGCCTGTAACGCGCAGTTCGGTCTTTTGTCACTCGGGGATCCGCACATGCATGACATTTTCAGTTCGCTGTGGTACTGCTGTGGAGCGTGCGTGCGGCTGTTACGTTGTGTTTATGTAGGTCGAGTCGGCAGTATTTTCTGACACTCGCATAGCCTTAATGGGCCTGGCGTTTTTGCTAGTGCGCATTAGGACTCTGCGATCGGCCTGCGTCGCTGTTGCTGGGTGCATTGACTTCCAGAACGGCTTGCATGCGCGAGTGTTCATAACCAGCACTTGCTTTTCCTTGTGTATCGCGATGTCTTGCTGAATGCATTATACTGAGGAACCGCACTGTGTGCCAGTTAGTCGAGAGCAATCTTGAAATTATTCTAGATCGTTGTGCGGGACCAATGATTTTGGAGTGTGTGCAAGAATATTTTTAAGCAGCCAGTAATAATAATATTACACGAGGAGTGTCTGCAAGAGACTGCAAAGTTAGTGTAGGGCCCAATTTATGGGATGCTAAACTGATCGTGTGCCCAACTGATCTAGCTCCTACCTCATGTAGATGATCAATCGAAGATAGTTAAACCATTGTGGGTCTTTAGGCTTGCTGATCTGATAGTATCAAGTGAGGAGAGCGTGTGTGTTTGTTGTGCCCGTGTGTAAAGAACAGATTGTACATCGATTTGAACTGTCAAAATCTGCCGTGGTGGCTTGCCTATGATGTTGCTGTTAGCCACGAAGTAACCCATGAAATCTCGGCAGCGGTGGCCACGTTTCAATGGATGAAGTTGGGCTTTACACATCCATTAAGGTACCCAAAGTTGTCAAAATTAATCCCGAGCCCCCTAATTATGTTTAGGCATTGGCACTTGAAAAAAATTGCTTGGATGAGGAGCATGTTTAACCCTAGCGAAATTTCATCAAAATCGTTTTTTAAGTAATTTAGCATGTAGTGAAATCTGGAATGATTAACAGTTTGTTCAGTTACAAGTTATTCAGACCCAGACAAGCTAGTTACAAGTTATTCAGACACACACAAGCTAGTACCATTGCATTCCCCTTTCTTGTGCAAGTTCATGTCCATGAAGTTCGTTGTGCAGAAGTATTTGCTCTGACGTTTCTTCAATTAAAGGCACACGATTGCTGAAACTGCAGTCCAGAAACCTCATAGTGCTACTTTTGTGCCTAGGAAATGTTTATTTTGAAACAAAATAATGTTTAGCGGTCTTTAGCACACTGCCAATCGCCAGCCTGAATGGACCTTATGACATGGCAGTCGCCTTGCCCTATGCTGTCCACATTTATTGTGTGGACACAGACACCAGTAGCAGCTAAGTGAAAGTAGTGGGAGCCGCAGCAGCAACAATGTTCATGGAAGCTTGCCCGGCTTGGCCGTGATGGATGTCGGTAAACCTGACAAGACATTGATTCTTGACGCTGGTGCAGAGGCACGGTGCTCAGCCACTCCATGCCTATACATGTAGGTAAAAGGAAGAGTTTTGTTGTGTGGCACCCAGGAAAAGGTCTCCTTGGTCTATTTGCTTCAGCTCAAGTGGTCTATGGCATTCGGCAGCATCACATGCACAAGGCATTAAAGGCTTTTAGCTCAAACATATACATTTCATCATTAGTGTTTTAGCGGAGTACCGGACTGTGTTTACAGTGTTACCAGAGTGCATGTTTTGCAAACTTTTTTGGTACTCCCTTTATCTACATATACCTTTCCCTTTGCTCAAATCATCATCATCATCATCATCAGCCTGACTAAGTCCACTGCAGGACAAAGGCCTCTCCCATGTTCCGCCAGTTAACCCGGTCCTGTGCTTGCTGCTGCCAATTTATACCCGCAAACTTCTTAATCTCATCTGCCCACCTAACCTTCTGTCTCCCCCTAACCCGCTTCCCTTCTCTGGGAATCCAGTCCGTTACCCTTAATGACCAGCGGTTATCCTGTCTACGCGCTACATGCCCTGCCCATGTCCATTTCTTCTTCTTGATTTCAGCTATGATATCCTTAACCCCCGTTTGTTCCCTAATCCACTCTGCTCTCTTCTTGTTTCTTAAGGTTATACCTACCATTTTTCTCTCCATTGCTCGCTGCGTCGTCCTCAATTTAAGCTGAACCCTCTTTGTAAGTCTCCAAGTTTCTGCTCCGTAGCTAAGTACCGGCAAGATACAGCTGTTATATACCTTCCTCTTGAGGGATAGTGGCAATCTACCTGTCATAATTTGAGAGTGCTTGCCGAATGTGCTCCACCCCATTCTTATTCTTCTAGTTACTTCAATCTCGTGGTTCGGCTCTGCGGTTATTACCTGCCCTAAGTAGACATAGTCTTTTACAACTTCAAGTGCACTATTACCTATCTCGAAGCGCTGCTCCTTGCCGAGGTTGTTGTACATTACTTTCGTTTTCTGCAGATTAATTTTAAGACCCACCTTTCTGCTCTCCTTGTCTAACTGCGTAATCATGAGTTGTAATTCGTCCCCCGAGTTACTCAGTAATGCAATGTCATCACCAAGTAGTGATAACTGCCCCTATCCTACAAATTAGATAAGACTGACTCACTGCTGCTGCAAAATCGTAGAGGTTTTTAGGGTGTACAGTGTCCCGGCATATGTAAAGGGTTGTAGGAATGAAGGGTTACTGGACGATGGTGTCGACATCCTGTGGCTCTTTGTGCAATCATGGTCATGAATGCGTTTGTATTTGCCTAGTGTTTCCGAGAAAAAACAATTAAAACTCATTCGTAATTATGCTGCTGCAAGGCATTCACGGCAGTAGTATGCACGATGTTTCTGCAGTAAATATGATTGTGCTTCCCGATTCAACTGGGCCCCATTGAAGGGCACTTCATATCCAGCCAAACTAGGCGAAAAGAATTATTGAACCACTCATGCCTTTCCCCGAATGGTCCTTTTTTTCGTGAATCAAAGAGAAATGCACAAGCAGCAACTTGTCACGTGTAACGATACTCTGACAGTTTTTTTATATTGCAACTGGTTTGATTACTAGCGAATATAGAGAGTTGACAGTTCGGCGATTTGGTGCTTTGACATAGAAACCATCGTGAGAGCGCAACAAAGCACGACACACAAAAACCTGCCCCCTGACCTCGTCTGTCTTTCTGTGTGTCGTGTTTTGTTGCTCTCCCGATGGCTTATATGTACTAGCGAATAATTTTACTGTGGCCTAGTTATGTCATCGGCAATACTTCAAAACATACTAGTCGTGGCTCATATGGTGTTGTACATTTACCTTAATTTCTAGATTGGTAGAGCACTGCTGTTGATAGTATTGAGGTTTTAGACATTCTAGAACATTGATCTTTCACCCTGACCTATTGTTATTTGCCTTTAGTGTCCCTTTGAAACAATGTGGGCAAACCTTGGTGGATGTTGTCCAATTGAAGGGACTTGGTAATATTAATATGCAATGTACATCTTTGGTTGTACTTAGGTTGCATTGTATTTACTTCCCTTGCTGTTTACACAGAATGAATCCTCCATTCCTTTAGTTTCTGTGAAGTTGAGCAGTAAACTTGAAACTGCGAAGCAGTGTGGAATAACGCTTTTAAAAAATCTGTCTTTATGTGTGTTTGTTTTGCACTACTGTCATAAAGTTGCAAAAAGTTGCCCTCATTTCACTTTTCAGGGAGCGGACCGTTCCCTGGGTGCAGTGCAGCAAAGTGCTCAATGACTTCTCCTCGTCAGCATGTCCACGGTTTCGGGGCTACCTTCAAAGGGGGAGAAAGGAAAGCCAAAGTATCTGGCATTGGACATAAATAATATCTACAAAGGAAAAAGCTTAGAGAACCCTAAAACCTCGGGTAAGTGAAAAATGACCACTGAATTCCTATCGCCGTCTTCAGAACAATTTCTTGAGTTTGTTGGTGTTGTACTGCACTTGGTACTGCACTTGGTAAGAGAACAAATATGTCACTGAATTACCCTTCCCCAATATCTTGAATGTCTCTACCCTGTTACTTTGGTTAGCCAGCTGATGTGCAAAATAGGAAAGGGTGCCGGTGCCCTCTTTTAAGGTTCCCCGTCACCCAGTCATGGATTTTAAATGCTTATTTTTTCGTGGAAAACTGGTTGTAGTTCTATTTCAAAGGAGGCAAGAACTTGTCATGGTGACATTAAAAAAGTTTTTTGCAATTTATGACTGAACAATAAGTTATGAGTGGTGAAGTTCAGCTGTGGACCTAAACAAGTTTTTTTTTTCCCTCGCAAATAAGTTGAAAGTAAAACTTTTTGTTGGGATAGTTTGTGCATGGTTTATGGAAGGAATAAGGGGCAAACTAGACACACAAGAACAGACATGGATGAACGCCTATTAACTGATTTATTATTATAAGAAAAAGGGGAATACAAATAGGCAAGCATTTCGGCAGCGCTAATCTCATGGTGTTCCTAAATGTGATAAAAGCTTGTACAAGTTGTAAAAGCAATAAAATCGTTTTCTGTGTTGTTCCTTGCAGCGGCCCCCAAACATGGCTTGCAGTCATTGGGGAAAGTTGGTGCGGGGAGGCGTATGCCACCTCCTGTCAACCTTCCAAGTCTAAAAAGTGAGAACAGTGGAAACAATCCTAACATAAGCTTAGTACCAAGTGGAGGTCAAGGATGGGGGAGTGCGGGAAAAGAGAAAGGAAAGTCGCCCGAAGAAAACAGGTTTGTTTTGTTTTCTGCATTGGCTGAAAAGTTGTGTGATGTGTACTTAGTGTAACTTTCTTTGTTCATATAGCAGTGGCCCACAGCAGCAGTCGCAACACTCACAATCACCTACTTCGCATTCACAAGGACCGCCTGCATCAAAGGTCTGTTTAATATCTGCTTAAAAATATGAAGCTTTGGCCGTAGATATCGGCTGGCAGTGCATGGTGCAAAAATACAGCAGTATCCTTTCACTATGTACTGACAGTGGGGCCGCGTGGGTTTCCTTGGTTCTTTATTTTCCTTCCAGTGCATTCATTAATGCTGCATAAGTGTCATCTCGGGTGTCAATTGAAGGGCTGATGAAAATATCTCGAGGCATGCAAATGCAACACCTATTTTCATCCCATTTGACCGCAGGATGTTGAATATAAACTTCTTCTGTAGTACTTAATTAAAAAAAAATCTTAGTCTTTAAAGTTTTTGTGAAGAGACTACATTCTAAAATGATAAAAACTGAAAGCTGATGAAAAGTCTCTGAATTTGTTCAATCTCTGAGGTCTTAATTTTGTTGCAATTCCTTCCACTCCTAGCCTTTGCTGTTCATAGTTGGCTGATCACATTGGCTATGGGAATATTATTAACCATTAATTGGAGAAAATTTTTGCGAAACATTGGAAACAAACTTGTGTATCCGGTTTAAATTGTTTATTTATTTATTTATTATACCCTCAGGGCCTCTGGCCCTGAGGGTATAATAAATAAATAAATAATCCCAATACTTTACAAATATGTTGCAGGTTTACAATGTGAAGATTGTCAATAATATGCCAAATGGCAGGACGAGTGCTGCTCTTATCTGTAGAACGGCTCTACTGTAGTATTTCTTTGTATAGTAGTGCCAGTGGTGGTGTTAGAGCTTAGCTTGTCAGTTCCGTATTTGTTCAAGGCTGAGCACTTGTCCTAAGTGTGTTGCATGTGCGGTCACAACCGTGCTTAACTCTCACTTGCTTCCCCCGGAAACTATGTTTTTATTTACATGTTGTAGTGTCCACAGTCTTGACTAACTTTTAAATCCTTAACTCTCACTTGCTTTCCCCGGAAACTATGTTTTTATTTACATGTTGTAGTGTCCACAGTCTTGACTAACTTTTAAATCAAGGGGAAAAATACTAAGGCAGTTCTGGAAAACTTGTATGAAAGTAGTAGAAAATATCCATAAAATTCATGAAAATAAGAATGTGATTTTATTGTACGCTGCTTGAGAGTGCAACATATCTGGAGTGTACAAATCTTGCATCAGGTTTCAGACTTTTCCAAGAGCCAATGTGCAAGCTCTATTTTTTTATGCCCCCCAAATAAGCTCACTAGTTTGTAGAGTAGACCATGACGATCATATTTTGCAAATTTTGCTGTGCTGCATACCGCGTAGACCGTATGTTTTGAAAAAATTCCTGTGCTGCTTTCGTTCTGCTGACCTGGCCTCCTCGTATGTGCAGTTACGAAATCTAGCCCATTGGCAACATTACTCTCCCCTGAGCTTGTCGATTAGTCCTACGATGCGGTGTCTTGACTGCATAGTCGGAGTTTTTATTATTCTGTGCGGCCTTTTGCCGTTTTGTACAGCCTGAAACTACTGTAAGAAGCGGTATTGCCAAAAAGAAAGCCTCTCAAGATCGTGTGCTCCTTCACTGGTAGGGGAAGTGTGCTTCTTGCATCGCGCTTCCTCCTCGTGCTGCTATGACACGTGCTCACCTAGGGGAACCCCTGCTTGGTTGTGGGCTGCGTGCTGATGCATTTCTGTCATGTTACGCTGACGAAACAGGTATAGCTGCAATGGAGGGCTGTGCCTACCCCTTTCTGCTGGGAGAAAAAGGGTGGGAAGGACGAGTGAGAAACCGAAACCAGCCAATGTGGGTTGTTCTAAGCTCTAACTTCCTTGTTACAGCAATTATTTGCAAAATTTTGGCGGCAGCACGTTCACGTTTGGAACACGAGATTTTTTACAGGCCCTTTAAAAAAGACCATTGTATGCTTCACGACATAAATTACGTAGTTCAAAATTATAGCCATAGTATATAGGAAATCTATGGCATGTCAATTGTTGAGAGGTATGCATTTATTTGGCAGATAACTTCTGTTCGGAACAATTGTAACAAGCATATAGACTGTCCCATTACCTTGGATGCAATGCATTAGTTTGTCTAAAGAACAGCTACAAGCTTTCTCATAAACATAGTAGAAACCCATTGTTTCAGTGGTCAAAAACTGATGGATAGTCTTAAGGTGCTACAAAGCAATGATTAATCATTGTAGCTGTTACAATTTTCATCAATACGTCAACTGCAAATTTGACGCCCAATTGTTCAAGAAACTGCGTGATCGCCCAGTTACTTAAGCTTCAAACAGAAAATCGTTGATGACACGCGTGGTGTTCGGAAAATGGCTGCGGGACTTTGATGGGGAGCTTGCAGATCAGGGCTAGAAAATATGCCTCAAGGCTTCTTGTTGACAACTGCTTGGCACATTACACAGATAATCAGTCGAGCAACATCGAGCTCAAGTTCCTGCCTTCAAACACCACCTCGAAGCTCCAGCCTCTTGATCAAGGAATCATCTGTGTTTGAAAGGGATCTACAAGTGAAGGCTTTTTGAGCAGCTGCTCATTCAACTTCGTATGAATGTTTAAGCGCAATACAGATGCTTAAAGCTGCTTGGGAGAGAGTGAAGAAAGAGACAGTCGCTAACCGTTTTCCCGGCTGTGGCGGCTGCATTTCCGATGGAGGCGGAAATGTAGGCCCGTGTGCTCAGATTTGGGCGCACGTTAAAGAACCCCAGGTGGTCAAAATTTCCGGAGCCCTCCACTACGGCGTCTCTCATAATCATATGGGGGGGGGGGGGGGTAATCATATGGTGGTTTTGGGACGTTAAACCCCACATATCAATCAAAATCAATGGATCTGGTGTGTTGCTACTGTTGCTCAATGGAAGGCACCGCGAGTCGAAAGATGCGAGTCGAAAAATCGCGTTTTTAGCGAAATTTCTCGTATTTCTGATTTTTATTGCATTGTAATCTTCAAACCTTATTCTTTCATCTGTGAAAATTTCAAAACTAAATTCGAACCGCAAAATGCAAAAAAATGTATATGAAGGCATCGCGGTGGCTCAAAATTTCGTGACTTTGCGCCGATATTGGCCATCTTTGACTGCGCGCTGCTCCCCGTCGCTGTGCCGCCCGCCATCGCGATCGGTTGGGAAAGTTGCGTCCGGCCTTCTTCTTACAGCTCCGACGACCGCCAGTTTCGTACGTGGGCAAAAAAAACCTAAAAAACGAGGCCTTTTTATCGCATGGTTTGAGCGGTTTGAAACGCGCGGAACCCTAAGCCGCATCGCCATTGGCTACCGAGTCATTGTCAGCTGTGTTGGTGGCGGCCATCGGCATTTGGTCCGTCCGCTTTTCTGCGCGTCTACGCATATTTCCGCACGGCGGCATCGATGAGTGCGCGAGCGACAGTGGCTGCGATGAAGGGATTGACGCTGCGCTTCTTTCGTCAGTGCTTCGGAAAAGAAGCTCGGCTTCTTCGAAAAAGACGAAAGACAGCGCGATGAGGTTTGTGCAACGACAGTTTTGTGCGACACCCTCTTGCTGACGGCACTTGTGGCAGGTGCGGCATGCCCTGCTTGCGGTATTCAAAAACTTGCCGTTCGGGAGCCGGCAGAAAAGCGCAAGGGACTTTCGTCGCTCCTCGAACTTCATTGCGAAAACAGCGAATGCTCAGCAACTGTTCTTTCGTGCTCCTATACGTCACTGCGTGTTACGGCGGACGGCAGGAGCCGAGTGAGCCAACGGTGCGACAGTGGGAGCTCCCGAGATAGTTTCGCTGTAAATGTGAAGGCGGTGGTGGCTGCTTGCGCTGTCGGCATTGGGCATGAGCAAGTGTCGAGATTTTGCTCCATTATTGGACTCCCAAAGCCAGTGCACCACCGAGGATTTTTTTTCGATAGCAAAGAAGGTGCACACCGCTGACATGGCAGCTGTGAGTGAAAACTTGCGCCGATCCAGAGAGTTGACGAAAGAAGTAGCAGGCGAAACTGATGTGGCTGTTATGTTCGACGGCACTTGGCAGAAGAGGGGCCACAAAAGCCACAACGGGATTGGCGCAGTTATCTCCTTAGATACTGGCCTCTGCTTAGACTTCGAGGTCATATCAAATTACTGCCTGACATGCAGTAGGCACAAGGATATGGGCCCAGACGAGGAAGTGTGGCAGGCATTCCATGGCCCAGTCTGTGAAAAAAATGCAGACTGTTCCTCCCATGCCATGGAAACGAAGGCTGCAATGCGCATTTGGCAGAGAACATTGACTTATGACACCCCACTGCATTTCATGACATTCTTGAGTGACGGTGACAGCAAAGCATATAGTGCAGTTGCAGAGTCAAAAAGTCTATGGTGCTGTCAATATAGAAAAAGAAGACTGCACTAATCATGTGGCCAAGAGACTTGGCACCGCGCTACGGAAGCATTCTTGAGTGACGGTGACAGCAAAGCATATAGTGCAGTTGCAGAGTCAAAAGTCTATGGTGCTGTCAATATAGAAAAAGAAGACTGCACTAATCATGTGGCCAAGAGACTTGGCACCGCGCTACGGAAGCTGCATGTGCCATTACCACGAGGGCAGAAAATGAAAGAGCCAGCCATTCAGAAGCTCCAAACATACTATCAGATTGCCATAACAAGCAACAGGGGGAGTGTACGGGATATTCACACTGCAGTATGGGCTTCGTACTTCCACTCATGCTCTACTGACAATGCTGGCAGCCACAAGTTTTGCCCTGCAGGAACAGAGTCGTGGTGCAAACATCAACGCGCTAAAGCACTTGGTAAACCTGCACCACGCCACACACTTCTGACAAAAGCACAGGGATTGGCTGTTTTGCCCATTTATAAGCGGCTAACGGATGAGAAGCTCCTTGCTCGATGCATCAAAGGAAAAACCCAGAACGCATCGGAATCCCTGAACAGCAAAATTTGGCTACTTTGCCCCAAGACTAAGTTTGTCTCCCGAACGGTTGTCGAGACTGCCGCAGCTATGGCAATCCTGTGGTTTAACAAGGGTCATGCTACTTTCGAGCACATTCTGGAAGAGCTCAACATACTGCC